AAATAGGCTCACCTCATGCAGTAGGACGGGGTGGGTCGTAAAGAAATTGCTCCAACTCATCCAAATCTGTTATCTCCGCGTATTGTCCAAGAACCTCCTCATTGTTCTCCATGTAGCTGAAGGAGAAGAAAGAAATTTCAACAAGATCAAATCAAGCGAACTAGAGTTCTAGAGTGGCTCTACTCTGAGAATAAGAAGGCCAGCCGTCTCCTCACAGGAGCATCGAAAGCCGTAGTAGTAGTGTATAATTCGTCATTGACGTAGCATAATGCCAATGTCCACATTTTTGTATTTTTTTTCGCAAAAAAAAGCATGCATATTCCCGAAGACGAGACTACGGGTCTTGGGCGTAACTTTCAACAGGATATGAACTAAGTGCCAACATAATCGTCCCATTTCGCCTTGATGGGAAAAACATGCCCGATTGAGTTCCACAGCGTCATTTCATGCATTTTGTATGTACCCCTATTCAAAGCGACCGAGCCCGACTGGCGACCCTATTACTCCAGAGTATCTTCCCCGCTCGAATCCACCTCATCCTTCGTCACCGGTGGCGGCGCTTTCTCGATCTTCTTGTCGGAGATTATCGTCTGAGAAGATAACACTACGTTGTAAACACAATAATAACCGCCGTTTTGGGGTGATTTATTCCGAGACTAGAGTGCACTATCATTCGAGGCTATAAAGCTTCGTGTTGCGCCTTCAAGAGACGCGTTAATCGTCGATCGCGTGGATGTCATTGGAATACATTCAACCTCTTCCGCGCACAGTGAAGGATATCCTCACCTTCTCATCGACGACATGACAAAGATTCTCTCCGTACAGCGGCTTTGACCTCTCCAACTTCTCCAACTTCTTCATCGCCTCTGGGGACCCATCCTGAATATCCAATTAATACAATGAACGATTAAGTGGGTGATTTATTCCGATGATGACATGGGAAGACAAAAACACTTGTAATTTACAAATTGTTAATCCGTGAAAACGAGCAATTCGCTGTCCCTTGAAAAACAAAAGTGAGCGATGGATTCAGCGAGCACTATCATATCAAAACTCTCATTTCATGTTTACCCAAAATCCCCTTCTCAAAATGGCAATCTCGAAGGCAATTTTTTAATCGGAAAATTGAAGCAAATTTCTCATTAAACTCATCCGAAGACGAAAGAAATCTTCTAGTTGCTACCTCCAGCAGCTGTTTTCTCTCTTGTTCATATTCTTCCATTTTGCGCTCTCGCTGGGCGCGCTTGACTTTAATATTCAAACCTGACTGACAAAATACAAGCCGCGGGATTCGAACCAACGACCTACCAGTGTCAAGATTTGGGTGGAAATCAGCCTCATCATCCGAGAGGTCGATATTATCCCACTTCGAATAGTCGAACGACAGATTGGACATTACAAACACAATCAAACTCTGCTTCACATCCGAAGGTCCCCGGTTCGATCCTCGCCATCGTCACCTCAATTAAATATGAATGAAATGAACTCGCCCGAAGCCACAAGAAACGTCATTGGTCATCATCCGTATTGAGCATCCGTTCTGGTATGCCCCTATTGAGCACCTTCCGTTTCCCCTCAGGACCACCATCATCTTTACACACTCGGCCCTCTCTCTTCGTGCCGCGCCGTTTGTGAGCATCCGCGACCAGTCGATGCATATACACGAAATACCACAACATGTTATCATAACGACCGTCGTAGGGCGCTGAAATGAAGGTATTCCAACAATGCCAAATAACGATGAAAATAGATTCATCATTCACACAACTGCACTCGATTGCTCTGGCGAATTCCAACGAGTATATCGGCTACTTGCACTATACAGGAGACCAATTTTTGAAAATCAGAAAACTTAAGTAAATATTCCATAGAGAAATTTTCATGGATCCAAAATGTGTAGTTATTCCTGTTGAGTTTGATAGCTTCAAAATCGATTATGAGTTCTCCACACTCCGTGGGCAGATGTACAATTCAACATTATAATCACGACCATCTCGAGCCGAGTATACTAATACTAGACTTACCGTCATTGACAGCTTCCCACTGCTCCTTGCACAGTAGATAGCATGCCTCCACTGTAGCTAGGCACTCAGGGCCCTCGTGCTGATACCGCCAGAAATTAGTAGCATGAGAAGTGATACCAACTTTTGGTAGTTCTTGAGCGAAGGATGGCTGAAAAACAATCGTGAGGCGAAG